TGTTTTATATATTAATACACTAAAAAAATACCTAATCAACACTAAACTCTTTCTTGAAATAACTTAATTAATTCAAATCAATTTTCAAAAAAAATATTACGAAAATATTTTAATTGACTGCGAACTTCGTCTAACTACTCTGATATTCACACATCTAGACTAGGTACAAGGAAAATTCAAAATATCTTCGTAATCCATAAAAAACACCAACGAACTGCGAACTATGAATTGTGACTTTGATTCCTCCTAAGAGGATACGTAGGCATACGACTAAAATCGTGGCGAGTTCCCCTAATTAAAATTAAAACCCTGTTTGTCAAAGATCGCGCTTCTAAACCCTAGTATCATTGTGAACAAGGTAGATGAGGGGTGCCTAACACCTTCCCTTCGTCTAAGAATGAGTCCAACAATTTAGAATCTATGAATAAATTAGGGTTATTATTTATATTCCCTTCTCAAAGATAAAAACTAAGGGTGGCGACTCTCATTTTAAAACCGCTTACAACATTATGCAACGATAAGTACAGGGGGACTTCCTCTATATCGGGAAAGTAGAAATCATATGGCCTTGTGATGCTCATGGAGACAAGCATGGGAGATTTATTGAGGGAGGGATTTTCTTCCTCAACATTCTTTGACTCGAGAGCATCTTTCTGGAGAGTGTCCTTCTTCTTATACTGTTTGAGATACCCATCCCGAATGAGGATCTCGATAGCATCTTTAAGGTGGATGCAGTCTTCAGTCATGTATCCATGACTTTTATGGAATCTGCAATACTTGTTTGTCCCTCCCAGGATTGGACGGTGTTTGACGAGGAAAGCGTACCCCATCTTGCTTGAACTCTGAGTTAGCGCATTCTGTCAGGATCCGCTCATGGGAAGTGTTGAGGGGGTGTAGACATGGAATCGACCAGCTGGCCCCCGGTAATCTTTAGAATCTCGAGATTTATCCTCCCTTTTCTTTTCTCCTCCCCGACGGGATGTCAAGGGTTCATAATTCTTTGATACTTTCACATTTTACATATGCCGTGAGTCCCTCGCGTTGTTGGTTGCTTCCTTCTCTTTGTACGGGATGTACGCTTGAGCTTTGAGCAGGAGGGAGTCAAGCGTGGCTGGAGTCTCGATGCCAACAGCTTTTGCAAAGTCACTGTGGGGATGGAGCCCGCGCTTAAGGAGATTTTTTTCATGTCGTCGGTTGTGGAGACGTGCACGACTTCTTTGTTGAAGCGCTCGATGTATGCCTGGAGGGATTCATCCCTCCCTTGGATGATCACCTCCAAAGATGCCTCTGACTTGGGATGTTGGCGAGATGCAGTGAAGTGTCTGTAATATTATCTTCCTAAGTTTTTCCCTCACGACCTGATGGACTCGTTTGGAAGGCTCTTATAGCAGTTCATGGCTCCTTTCCAGAGCGTTGGAGGAAAAAGATGACATTTGATTGCTCCACAAACCACCCCCATGTAGTCGAGTAGCGCATCAATGTTCTCGATATGCTCGTCATGATCGATTATTCTACCGTACGTCCCCAATGGGGGAGGTTTCTCTAGGCCGACAGGGAGCATGATCTCCATGATCTCTCTTGATAGTGGGTTGCGGGGCTCATCATTGTTGCTTCCTTCAGGAGACGGTGGAGGGGAATGATGATTCCTTCCTCGTCGAGGGTTGTTTTCCTGGCGGGGAGACGTGCTTCTTTGTTGTTGTCTTGGCTTGGGCAACAGTGATCGGTCGCGGTTAAGTTGGCAGTCGCTCTTTGTCATCTTGGAAGATGGGGAGCCTTGATCTTTCCGGGAAGGTGTGCGGCCTTGTTTCTTGATGAAAGAAACCTCTTGCCTCTCCTGCATGGAGGTACGGACACGCCTTGGTGGACATGGACTGCGGGAGTCGTAATGCTGGTGTCTCCGAGGAAGAGACTTCGTGTGCTTTTTCTCCCAGGCCCCAATCCTCTTACTCTGATGCAGGATTAAGGCGTTGGTTTGGTTGAGGGCATCAAGCAATGCTGCTATGGTAGGATCGACATTTTGAGAAATAGGAACTGGTTGTAGGATCTCTGGTAGTTCCTCAGTGAGATTCTTGGACCCTTGCTCATCCAAGAATTGAAGATTGTCGTGCTCGACGTCGATTGAATTTGGGGATGCGGTTTATCCATATCTGACATCGAGGTCATCCTCGAGGTGAGGATGCTCCTCGCTTCCATCGGGCTTGCGGACGAGAGAGATTACAATCTTTTCACAGAGGTGATGGTCATTATGATCGGACATGATTGAAGTAATAAATGTATCTTTGGTATTTGGTTTTGAGGAAAATGAAGACAGGGAAGATAGTTTTCCACATACAACACCACTGATCTTACCAGTTAATCAGAATCTAAAAGTGGGCCTTGATGATGACGTCTACTCAGCTGGAAATATGAGGAGAGAAGGGGGTGTACCTACAAGGCACTCCGACGATCTAGTAAGAATGGGTGTAAAGAGATACAAGAAAGATAGTATGGTTTTAGTATGAATATTGGATACCTGGCCCTCACAAGTGTGAGGGTTTATATAGTTCCTTCGGCGCGTAGCCAGTGGTCCATATTTTTGGACCGATATATGCGGGTCCGCAAAAATAGGTAACTGCATGGACTTGGTCAAAACGAGCAGTCGTTCCCGTAACTAGTCGTTGCATCGAACAAGGATGAGATGACGGGTAGAAGCGTTTATGAGTGTTTCCTGGGCGTCTGCTCTTCGTGTGTCGAGCTGACTGAGAGGTAGCCGCCCGTACAAGCAGGCATGCGTTTCGGGCATTGTTGATCGTGTCGTTCGAAGGAGTGGTCGACCAAGGATGTTGGGCCATCATTATTGGGACGCGCCAAAGGTGGAAGCGGATTGGGTCAATTCTAGTCGTTGGGTCAGTCCAAAACAGAGATCATATAAATTAATATAAAAAGATATTATAAGATATTTATAATATTCTAAAAAATATTATAAGGTATATATTTATAATTTTCTAAAAGATATTATAAGATATATATTTATAATAGTCTAACCGATATTATAAGATATTTATAATATTTGAGAGATATTATAAGATTATAATAATATATTTTATTCTAACAATTAAGGAGATATATCCTACAAAACAATTAAGGAGATATGTTTTAGAATTTGTTATGGATTTGTTGGATTTTGGCTATTATAAATAGGTATCTCTTCTGTTATTATAGTGTGACAATTTTAGAGCTTACAACAACAAGGGAGAGCAAGGGTTTAAGGCATATCATAGGGTTTTGGCTATTTCAAGGAAAATCTTAGAAAGACGAGGGTTTTTGGAAACTTTTGTCGTTATCTAAGGTTATTGGGAATTGGGAAACACTTACCTTGAGTTTGAGTTACTCATATATTGAAGGTTGAAAAGGTTGAGAAACACTTAGGTAGAAAATAAGGTTAATTTTTTTGGAGCCTTCAGGGTTGTTCTTGGGAATCTGAAGGCAAAGACTATTTTCTTGTAACTCATATGTAATCTCTTGTAACAACTTTTTGAGTATAATGAATTGAGGAGTTGTTCTGTCCTCCAAAGTAGATTGTTTGATCGAACTGGGTAAATAAACTTTGGTCTTTTTCTCGCGTTATTCTATTATATTATCTGTGTACGAATTATTATCGTTGTAGACCATTTATTTTAATTAGTAATATTCTTTACCTAACAAATTGATATTGAATTTTGTCGTAATTCACAACAAAATTAACAACACAACCATAATTTTTCATGTATCAAATCACGTGTTCCATTTCAAATTTTACAAGAAATTCAAAATGGTCCATTCTTAAAACTTTTTTTCTGCATACTTTCATAACAATGAGAATAATTTATGAGCAATCTAATTATATTATATTTGAATTGTTTATTGAAAGAAAATATCAATCTCTCTAGAGACATTGATTCAAGTGCAACAACTTCAAATATCTATTCAAAATTCTTTTTGATCACAAAGTGTTAGTGATCTTTTGTATCTAATAGAAAATAATGTGATTTCTTTTGTGTTGTAAAATCATAAAGTGACGGGCATTTTTGATTGTGTTAAAAAGTTAAGAGAATCTTAGTGGTAGAATGTAACGATTTCTAATATAGTGAAATCTCTCGCAAAATATAAGAAGACTTGAGATATATTGTTATATTTATTATTTTTCTGTATTTAAATTATACACTTTAATTCATATCTGAAAAGAGACATTAATATTTTTCATTAGCAGTATTAAGTCATTGTCAAAAGTGACTGAATATTATTTTTAAATAGATATTTTATAATTTAATTATTTTTTCTTATATCTTTTTTATATCATGATATATTTAAAGATTTTAATTTTTTTAAAAAAATAAATATTTCTTTAATTCTATTCTACTTATTTATGACCTAAATAAAAGTCAATAAAAATTTTAAACAAATGATACCATACAAATTAGAAAATTAATTAAACATATCGTCAGAATAAATACTCAGTCCACCTCACAATAAATAATCTATTTATAAAGTAAAAATATTCCAAATTAAATGAATCTTTTCAATTTTCAATATATATTAATGATTATTTTTAAATCTACACTCTAATTAGTAGAACTAAAAAAACCACCATATTATTATAAATAAATTTTAAAAAAAACTGGTACACGTACAATCTGTACCTTAAAAACTGGTTCAATCTGTACTTTTGATGTAAATTAACGGAATAGTTTCTATGATAGTGGTTGGTTACACAATTATATGCATACAAATAAATACGACCATAAAAGTAATAAGAAATAATGTATTCTTTTTATTGATTTATGAAATCAATTGTTTATTTGATTGCAACATAATACAAACTGCATTACAATACAAACATATGTATTTCTTATTGAAACTACATGAAAAAAAATGATTAACCCTTTAATCCCTTAATTATTTTGAAAATCACTAGCCAGAACAAATGAGTATATGTTTCCTTCAAACCCTTGATCTTAAGTAGTATCTTTAATGTTCACTCATCACCACCTCAGCTTTGCAGGAAAATACTGCAAAATAAGATCCAAAACAAAATAAGTACTTTACATAGAAAATCAATGACAGAAAACAAAAGAAGAAAAAAACATGACCAATTGATAAAATATGGTGTTCGTCAGAATTCATCGATCTCACCTTTTCGATAAGCGAGAGATAATACGGCTTCACTTCTTCAACGTCAACAAGAACTTTGCTTTTGCTGTAGAGATCATATTTGCTATACAAAATCAAATATCGTAAGTAAGTAATTATGTAATTAGCGTAAGTAAAAATTTGTAGAAATTAATATCAAAAATGTTGAAATTAAAATGCAAACATACTTAAATACATGGAGCCACTTCAAATTCTCAAAATCTTGTTCATTCATCAAGTGAGTGTAAGCATTTTCCTTATGCAAAGCTGTAAATTCATCATAGGTTTTCAGGTAATTAAATTAGTTAAACCGAGAGTTCTAATTAGTTAAATGATTAAAATGCTTACGGTAAAAGGAATGGTATCTGATGATGAACAATCCTGCTTTTGGCAAAGTCGCGCCATTTTCCTCAGCAACCTGCACATCCAAACATATCGTGTATTAGATCACAATTTAAACCATCTGATCAAGATCAAACTGGTTAGTATATCGCGGTTTATAATATCGCGCGATGAATTATTTAAAGCTCACCAAACACATATAATCATCATGTCCCCATGACATCATCACATTGTCTAGTCCACATCCTTCGGTGTAGACCCCATTTTTAGTGTTATAAGCAGAATTTTTGACATCAGGGTTGTCCTTGAAATACTGCATCAGAAACAAGATTTACGTAAATTGATTGATCATCAAAAAACGAAACAGTTCTGTTGATAACTGTACAGAAATATACATTTGACTTTAGAGAGATAGCGACATTCCAACCACTAATTTTTAAAATAAATTCATAATTACCTTGTGATGAACATTTGATTCATCAAAAGCACAACCAACAGGAAATGTGTCTCCAACAACAGCCCATTGAGGTAGTTCACCGAATTTCGGCAGCAGAAGAATTTTTCCAAGATCTGCAAAAATCAACAAAAATTTGTTACAATATTCTTACACATTGAAATGATATGTATTACAATCTATGTAGCTACCATGAATGAGAGCTGTCAAATGTAACCAATCTTCATTAGGATAATCTTTCCTAATAGCTTCAGCAGATTGCAGCAAATGCTGAATTTGAGGTTCATCCAAATCAGGATCACTTTCATCCACAACATCATTCAACAACTCACAACATTCCCATATACTCATTTCAGCTTTGTCTAGTTTCTTGTATTCCTCCCTCATTTTCTTCACCTACACATGTCAAATTTTCGTCACAATTGACACAAATCTATGTGTCAGACACCTCTAAAAAAAGGTGTTTGTGCGTTCGTGTGTACGTAATAACATTAATAATAATAAAATTTTCTTACGAAATCATATGTTTGATTGATATGTTGCAATCTATAAAATTCCTCAACCCCTTTTTGCCTTTCACTTTCTTCATCATAATTTCTAACAAAATAATTCAAATCAACCATGTCAGATTATTTATTTTTCATCAATTAAAAAAAAATGAAATTATGATTAATAATATTAACCTGAAGGTATGGCCAAATGAATTGATTTCAGGAGCGAGAAACAATGAATTCTGAGAATCATTTTGAGGTTGATGAAATCCACCATCAAGAACAAGTTCATTGGTATTGTTTTCAGAATGCACATTTTTGGTATCATCAAATTGTGACCCTGTAATATTAATAACAATAATAACAACGTGACCTTGTTATTATTACGTAATAATAGAATAATAACAATAATAATAATAATAATAATAATATAACAAAATAAAAAATAAATACCAAAGGGAATTTGCTCAACGAGAATGGTCATGTTCTCCTTCAGAAATTGCAATGAATAGAAAAACAAAGAAAGGGTAGAATGGAGAGAAAAAAAATGGATGAAATGGTAGTTGCAATAAGAAGGGGTATTTATATGCATCCGGTGAATTCGGAATGGAAGACGCAAAAATTGAAATGTGCTTATCCACGTGCTACTTCCTTTTTTTATATTTTTTTTGTGGTTTTTATGTTTATCAATTAGTATAATTTAAAATATATTTAAAAATCTAAATTAATTAACTTTTAACAATTATTACTAATTTTATACTATTAATAAAATAGGTAACTAAAATAAGGAAATACTAATTTGGATTATATTTAAAATTCAGTGATTTATTTCCTACAGCTTATGTAACGCTGTTCTTTGAGGGATACAGTAGATTTACATTCCATAAATGAAGTATAATAATAGTAATAATAATGAAAAATGATAAAGATGAGTCAGCATTACGTGGAATTTGAAGATTGAATACTGACGATGAATCTACTCATCACTGACTAGTCTTCTGACTTTCTATTAAAATACATCATCAATGTTATCAATAAATGATTTCCCACCATTTTTCTTATATACAAATATCAGATTATATGCCATAAGAAAATTTACTCTTACAATGTATAACAATTAAATTCTTTTTTTTTTATATTATATTTTCAATTTTTATTAATTTATATGATTTTTTTAATTTTTAGCATTTTATACTTATTAATTTCAATTATTTTTTTGCATGTTTAAATTTATTAATTATATTATACTTATAAATCAACAACTATTTTTTTTAAAAAAAATATTTCAAATATGATATTATACATAGACGGTTTAAATTTTCATGTGAGATTTAAAATGGAGTTCAATTTTATTCTTTTATTAATTTTAAGGGTGGACAATCGATCGGTTTGAGACGAAATCGAGTCAAAAACTTAAATCTGACCTAAACTGCGATTTTATTATTAAGATCTGATTTTGGTCGATAAAATTTTGATTTTTAGCGGATTTGATTTAATCAGTTTAACGGGTAAATTAGGTGGTTTTGATCGATTATTGAAATAAATCTATAAAAATTACTCATCTTTTATAAAATTCACAAATATTTATTTTTTAATTTTTTTAATAAAAACTATCAAAAATTTTAGAATAACTTAAATAACTAGTATTTTTTATTATTGAAAAAACGTTATTAACATGTTATAAAATTTCAGATATTATTTGATATTAATTTGCTCATTGTCACACTTTAAACAATAAATTAAATAACACTCAATTTTATATCGTATATCTTGTATTTTTATGAGTATACAATGTCACCATTAAATTATAAAAATGATAATAACTTGATAATATTATGAACCATATTTTTATAATGCTTCGACTCTAAAGTAATAAAAATATATATAAAATAAATATTAGTTAACTTCAGTCGGGTTAGGTTTCCAACAGATTCAAAATAATTATCCAAGTCCGGCCAAATCAACTCTATAATATCCAAAGTAATCTGATGAACCCGACACCCGATCTGACCCGATCTATTTGCTCAAAAAAGACAATGAATCGGTCAGTTTAGATCGGGCAGTTCAAATTTATCCACCCTTAATTAGTTTATTAGTCTATTTGAAAAATAAAATTTAAGAGAAAATTAATGTATATTTTAAAATTAGAGGGATGTTAGTATCATTTTAATAGATCTTGGGAAGGTGAATGTACTTTTTTTCTTTTAATTTTTATATTTAAATCAGATTTATTTATAATTTTAATCTCTTATTTCACTCGTTCATAGAATAATTTCCCCACTTAAAAATTGTCTAGTGTTACCCTGATCCATGATACTTCATTTCATACAAGTACTCTTTTCCATTTTCTTATAGAATAACTAGTAACATAAGAGAATATAGACGATCCAATCACAAGATAATAAACATTGATCTTTGTTTATATTGTTCGACCAATTGTGCTTTTGTATGCAACGACACAATAATTATGGACTTTGCTCTAGATCGGCCAAAAGGCCTAATGTGAGGGCCCAACCATACATAACTCAATTGGAATCATCCAACGTATATAGTCAACACATATGAAATTCAATGTATATTTTCTGATATCTATTTTTCAGTACACTCATCTTGGACTCTATAATTGACTTGGGCATTAGAGTGCTAACTTTGCATGTCTGCCTCGTGCTACCGTACTGGTGATCAACGCCATCATCGCTTTAAGGGTCACACATCATCAATCAACACATGTTTTGTTTCCAATATGATACAATGACACTGTCAGTGGGAAACTGTTAGAACAAAGTTTGAATCTACTACCCTATATTTAAGTTTTGATGATAACAAAGTGAAAAGATATAGTATTTATAAGTTTCATGTATGAACTATCTGCTGCCTAAAATTATTATGTTCTGACTTGCAGATACTCTGATTGATATAAGCAAGATCACATCTATTCAGCATCAGAATTTGGTTTCAGACACCAGCATCAGAAGTTGCCATATCAGAATGACAGAATCAGATGATCAACTTACGTATATGCTGAAGCCTGATGAACAAGACTGCGCTCAACACTCTGATAAAGAAACACAACAGTTCATCAGCAGCGAAGCAGAGTCAGAATGAGCCAAGCCAGAACTTGCATTAAGTAAGCAACGGTACTGTGCATTGAAAGCAAATTAATTCCAACGGCCTCATTCCAGACAAGATCTGCTCAATAAGGAAAGTTTGTTATTAGCATTGAATCAAGAATATTGCATCCAACGTTCATCATCTCAGTGCTATATAAACAAGACTTTGAAGATTGAAATGGCTAATGCTCTCCAAATCTCTACACGCACAAAAGCTAATCAAAATCTTCTTTCTCTCAGTTTTGCTAAACCACATTATGATATTCTATCATTGTTTAGCAATCTAGTTTCTAAGCTTCAATTTGTGTATACATCACAGTTGTGATACAGTTTTGTAGAAAACATTCACACACTTAGTTTTATCTCTTTGTAAGAAAGTGTTACCTTGACAAACCGGGTTGTGGTTTGGATCAAGAAGGCTTTAGCAGTTGTTAAAGCAGTCTGTAATATTCAGTTGAATATAGTGGATTAAAACCTCGTTGGAGAGAGGCGAAATCACCTTGACGGGTGGACTGGAGTAGTTTGAGATCAAACGAACCAGGATAAAAATATCTTGTTCATTGCATTAGATTTCAGTTTTACAATTCAACCCCCCCTTCTTGTGTTTTTCACCACTTCAATTGGCATCAGAGCGCCTGGTTCTGAGCTAAAACACTTAACCGTGTCAGTACAAGATCCAGCGTCAGAAAAACACAATGGCAGGAAACAATTCTCACATCAGCAATGACAACAATGAGGACAGAGACAGATTCAGCGGCAAACCTCCAGTCTTTGATGGAGAAAACTTTGATTACTGGAAAGACAGAATTGAAAGCTTCTTTCTGGCACATGATGCTGATCTGTGGGATATGGTGACAGATGGATACACGCACCCTGTGAATGCAAGCGGTCAGAAGATTGATAGAAAAACAATGTCTGATCAACAAAAGCGTGACTTCAAGAATCACCACAAAGCCAGAACCATCCTCCTCAGCGCCATCTCCTATACTGAGTATGAAAAGATCTCCAACAGAGACACAGCAAAGAATATTTTTGACTCACTCAGAATGACGCATGAGGGCAACGTTCAGGTCAAAGAAACAAAAGCTCTGGCGCTCATTCAGAAGTATGAGGCGTTCAAAATGGAAGAATCTGAATCCATTGAAACCATGTTCTCTAGATTCCAGATTCTGGTAGCTGGTCTCAAAGTTCTGGACAAAGGATACTCTACTGCTGACCATGTCAAGAAAATCATCAGAATTTTACCCAAGCAGTGGAGACCTATGGTTACAGCTCTGAAGCTAGCTAAAGATCTCAACAAAATCACTCTGGAGGAACTTATCAGCTCCCTCAGAAGTCATGAGATAGAGCTAGAAGCTGATGAGCCTCAGAAGCAAGGTAAGCCTTTAGCATTAAAATCTAACAAAAAATTTGAGTCTAAAGTTTTGCAGGCAGTTGAAGAAACATCTGATGGATCCTCATCAGAAGAAGACGAACTCTCCCTCCTCTCCAGAAGAGTAAATCAACTGTGGAAGCAAAGACAAAGGAAGTTCAGGAATCCCAGAAGATCTGATCAGAACGAGTCTTCTTCCAGATACAGAAGGACAGATTCTTCCTCTAGATACAGAAGATCTGAAGGCTCCTCCAGTAGCAAAAAGCCAAACACCAAAGACATCATCTGCTATGAGTGCAATGAGCAAGGACACTATAAGAGTGACTGCCCAAAGCTTCAGAGGGAAAAGCCCAAAAAGAAGTTTGGAAGAGAGAAGAAGAAGAGTCTCATGGCTACATGGGATGACTCTGACTCGTCTGAAGCTGACTTAGAATCAGATGATGAGAGGGCAAACATAGCTCTCATGGCTAACATCTCAGAAGATAGTGAAGCTTCTGAATCAGACTCAGAATCAGACACTGAAGAGGTATTTCCTAACTTTGTTGTTAACTTTACAAAGGCTGAACTTGCTGAAAGCCTTAATGAGATTCTGGAACGGTATCAGCAAATTAGAGTTAAATTCAGAAACCTGAAAAGGAATCTTGAATCTGACTCTAATAAGACTGAGAGTCTCAAATTGGAAAATTCTGAGCTGAGAAATAAGATTTCAAAATTAGAAAACACTTTACAAAACTCTCAGAAGGAACCAATTTCTGAAACTCCCAGCAACGCTGATGAGATCATCAAGGAGTATGATCACAGTTTCCAGAAGTTCCTAGCTAAAAGCATAGATAGAAGCAGAATGGCTTCAATGATCTATGGAGTTAGCAGAAACGGCAGGAAAGGAATAGGATACCAAGGTAAGGTTCCTACACCAAAGAATGTCATGGACTTAACCATTAAACACACTCCTCTAAAATCACATTTTGTGTATGGTCACACACATGATATTAAATACACTAG